CCCCCCCCCCCCCCCCCCCCCAACGTCACTACCCCCAGCTTGCTCATTCGCCCGCTCACTTTGTGACGATGGCTTCGATTTGGTCCAGGGTACGCCCGCCCCCGCACACCCGGGAGAGGTCCTTCGCCAGGGAGTCGGCCCGGCTCTTGGCGGAGTTACGCTGCGCGGTCAGTCGCATCACCTCCTCGGTCTTACCCTGCCGATGTAGTAGTAGAGGGAGAGCGAGGGGGGGGCGGGGTACTTACGTTTTGCATGCCTTGGCGGTTCGACCATTGACCACGCGTCCTCGAGAGGACTAGGGTATTGTTCCCTCAGGAGCATTGTTCCCACAGGACTGATGACCGAGATGGCCAATCGTTCCTTTCTTCGCCAAAGAGGTGGCGTGGGGCAACTAGGGGGACGAGAGTTAGTCAGCGGGAAGGGACAGAAGAAGGAGAGGGGTTGGGCGAGAGAAGACATACATGGAAGTGCTTCTAGACCTCTCGCACGGTTTTATCCTAGACGGAGAGGAAAACCGAACCAAAGCAAATAAAACACGAAAGATGAAGAAAGAGTATGGAAGATCGAATGTGCTCGATGAACAGGTGATATGTAGAACGGTGGCAGACGGCCGGTCCGCTGTTGATCAAGTTTGCCGTGTGGTGCTCGCGGCGTGGGGGGTGTACTCATAGTCGTGCATGCCGTAGTCGTTAGACCATTGACCTCGCATCCCTACAAAGCCGGGACGGAGCACGCCGGGTTCTCACCGGACCAGGCTCTCACATCACCAAGCGCGAAGCGCCGTGAGATATTCGGCGAGTCGCATGAAGGGTGCGCTGCATCCTGCTAAGGGTGTTCGGCATCTTGTGCTTACTTCCTTGCGTACGGATGACAGCTGCGTATGAATTAATTTATTTTCTGGTGCTTTCACTTCCAGAGACAGTTGTAAGCACTGTGTAACTGCCTCGAGGGTGCTTGACCATTTTAACACAACGTGGTGCGATCATCCCCCTTGCGCGGAGTGAGGGTTCTCCACCCCGCACAACATGATCTACTCGACCACCATTATGGTTACCGCCAAAAAAAAACGGAGGTAAAAAAAAAAAACGGTAACCTGATTGCCCGAGTTCACGAAGGAATTGGCTTGTTTTACAACGTCGTTGCCAAGCGACGAAAACCCAATCCCGATGGCAAACACCGGGGGGGGCGGCTTGTTTTACAACGTCGTTGCCAAGCGACGAAAACCCAACCCCGATGGCAAACACCGGGGGGGGAGTGGGGGACGGCAAGAGGGACTGGTTGCACAATCGTGAGAGCAAACGGACAAAAGAGACACACACAGAGAGGAAGAGAGAGAGCAACCCACCATGAAGGAGGATAGTGGCACGCCAAAAACGCTATCAGGGTATAGAACTCCGCGGCGTCTTGTGCTGAAAGCGGTCATCTCATTCGGGGCCTGCCGCCCAGAGCTCTTAAGTTGATCAAGGATCGAGATGCTCGTGAGCACCAAGTCCAAGCGCGCTGCGTGGCAACCCCCTACCGGCAGCCTACACACGATGATACAGTCATGTATATAACACACGCAAACGGAGCAGACAGCTGGAGCCAACACGCAACTGGGGCCAACACGCAACAGAACACAGCATACACACCAACAAAATGGAACGCAACATCACACTCTTGTTGAATTGATTGCCAACTTATCCAGGGCTTGTTTACCCTGTGGATAGAGATGGGATTTGGTTTTTCGAAATACACATCATGAGAACACTTCGACGTATAATTTTTTCATCGAATGTACTTCGAAAGAAGAAGAACAAACACAGGTAACACAAAGAAAAAGGTAGGTAACACAGCACCATGAATTCATCGCTGTTTGATCCTGGACCTGTGGATAGAGGTATTGGTTTTGTGAGAAGAAAAAAGTTAAACACACGGCACACCCACGCAAAACATCGCCACTGACCGCCATTTCGGCCCTCGTGTCCTCCTCCATCTTGACCGCTTTGTCCGCCCTCTCCTCCGCCGCCGCCTCCTTCGCCAACGCCTCCTCCATCCTCGCGACGGCCTTCAAATTCTCTGACTCGAGAGACGACACCTTGCCCTCGAGCTCGGAGACGCGGGCTTCCGACTCCGCTGCTTCAGCCGCCTTGATTTGGTTCAATTAATGTTTTTGCTTGTTCGCTTAGCGTTGTTGCCAAGGCCGGCGACTTACGTAGTGCCGGCGATTTGTCTGATTGATCGATCGATCGATGTTTGTATTTGTTGAATTGTTAACAAGTTGATAGCTTGGGCGACTTAGGTAGTGCCTCCGACTCCGCCGCTGCAGTCATCGGTCGCCATATTGTCGTGGATGGAGGGTGTCGTGGTAGGACGTACGCCTGCTTTGGCAGAGGATGGTATGTGCGACAAAAACAGCCAGGGACAGCCTACAAACGACTTCGTACGACAATTAAATAAAAACGAACAACCAATCGTCCCACATTCTGAAGCGAGAGAGAGAGAGAGAGAGAGAGAGAGAGAGAGAGAGAGAGAGAGAGAGNGAGAGAGAGAGAGAGAGAGAGAGAGAGAGAGAGAGAGAGAGAGGCAAAGAGACAGAGAGGCCCTGACATACACTTTATGAAAAGACACCCACACACTCGCACACACACGACTTTGCTTGGCCTCGTTGACTGCCTATGAACACATCTCTCCTCCCTGGGTGTGTCTCTTTCCGACCCTCCCATCCTCGTGTCACGGTTGTCTGCTGCAAGTATTCCTTCCGTAATCCCTTTCGCATCTTACCCTTGCCGCCGAGTACTTTTCCTCCAGGGCACTGGCCCGAGCCCTCGACGAGTTCGCATCGGCCAAAAGCTCCAGCTTGTCCTTCTCCAGCGTCTGTACACGAAAAAATAAAAAAAACATTTCCAGCCACGATTGCAGATAAGAGAAGAGAATCGTCCAGTCCGCCAATAGGAAAGAACGGTTTGCTACGTAGTGGGACGACCTAGAAATTATGATTGTTGTTGGTGGGATATGTGGGTTGAGGAGTATCGGCGGCGGTGTGCCGGTGGGAGCCTTTCGCTGGAGAGTTCCTCCGTCGGCACACACAGCTCGAACAAGAGTATCAACGCCCGGTGCTAGCTCTCGGAACGCCGAGCATGCATCTAATCTTGCCTAATCTCCAATCCCTCGCTTCAACATGATCAGCCACAACGACACGCAACCTCCAATAACCAAAGTCACACGCACATTATTCACAACACTTTCAATCCCCCCCCCCCCCCC